CTAAGGTGAGTTGTGAAGGACCCCTCTCCTTCCTCTAATGATGTTCAATTCATGATTGGTGGTGGTATGAGATGCAATATTATGGATTATTTCTTGATTTGTGGTTGAAGTGATGAAGTTTTATTATTTTTGGGGATTTTTCTGTTTTAATATAAGCATGGTTGTGTGGCTATCTATGATGATTGGAAATGGTATATAATGATTCTAGAAGGTGGAAAAAGTGGACAATTGCAATCAATTTCTGTTTTGGAAGAAAATTGAAAAACCTAGGGTTCATGAAGCTACATTCTGTCCGGTTTTATAGCTCCTAGCTAGAGACCGAATTGGCCTTAGCTCAAAACATGAAAGTTGTAGGGAATGACATTTTAAAGGTGCCTACAAAATTTCAGGTCAATCGGAGTAGCGTAGCTTGAGAAAATTCGAAATTACCCTTGCTGTCCTGGTTTTACCCGAATTTGGGAATTGCTTCTGTAATTGGTTGTTTTGGCCAGGAATGCTTCCGAATTGGTTGTTGAGGTCTTCTAATGAATTGTAACCGTGTTTCTGAGCTTGCAGTTGGTTTTGGAATTTCTGGATTTGGACTTAGGTAGACTGATTTATGATGTTTCCGCTGGAATGCGTTCTGTGAATCTATTTTTGTGATTCTGGTGTAGAATCTTGCATTTTTGACCTTGTTACACTCGAAACTGGGTTGAGTGACCTTCTAAAATATTGTAGCCCTATCTCTTAGCTTCGAAACGGTATATCTTTCACATTCATCCGATAATCGTAGTGCCTTTGGTGCCATTACCGCAAAAGGATGTCAAAAGCTATTTTTCTGGTTTTGTGCTTAACTTTCATTTCCGAACTTTTCCCTAGCTTGACCTGTACTAGTACTACTTGGAGCTTGGTGAATGACTATTGGATGAACTTGTTGTTGTGTGCGTACTTTGGGACTGGCTGAGGAAATAATGAAGTCTTGACGGCTGGAAAAGTAAGCAAATTTAGTGGAAGTGCTGTCCGAACTTTGAAAGGACTTGATTGCATTGAGTTTGTGATCTAAGACTTGGATTTGAGCAAGGCAATGATATATGATGGTTGGTTCCTGAGCCGTGGAGGTGAGTGACCCTAAACTATTTCCAAAGTACTTGTGAAATGCTTCTTGCATTATTTATTCGATTGCATATCATGCGTGCTTGCATGTGGATTCATGACATGATTTGGCTTCAATGAGTTCTGGGAAAGTCTAGTGCTGGACACCAACGTCTCCACCTTGTTTATGGTTCATGTTCATGTTTATCTGGTGCTCAAAAAGGGGCTCCCTCTCAATGTTAATGTTAAATGATCTATTTGAGCGTTGGGTGTTCAAGTGCAATGATTTCACCGGCTCACGAGAGCAATAAACGGACATTTGATCTCTGAATCATGACATCATCGAAATGATCGAAATGCAATATTGTGAAATATATTTGATTACTGATTTTACTGGTTACTCGCTGAGCTTCTAGCTCACCCCAAAACTATTTTATTCCCCTCTACAGGGCTCGTGGCGAAGGAAGGCTTGTTGTGCTTATTCACGTGAATAGATGGCCTATATTTTGTACAATTTGGATTTGGAATCATTTTATGTATAGTTGAGAATTGTTTCCGCTTCGCTTATGACATGTAAATGTTGGAGATTTATATTGTAATGTTTGAGGTTTATTCTTGTAATTCATTTGAGGACTGTAGTGAACGACTGAGTCCCGGCGAGAGCTGGGCAGGCGGCCCGCCGAACCCTCTGGTTCGCCTTAGGAGGAGGTGGGGCCGTCACAGTTGGTATCAGAGCTTAGGCTTCAGATCTCTGTAGTGTATCCTAGGCTTGAAGTTTAGGATGCCGGACTGTGGGTTTGGTTTGAATATCAGTGATTCTTGAGGGATGTTTTGACTTGATTAGTACAAGATGGAATGTCGAGGACGACATTCTTTTAAGGAGGGGAGTTTGTGACGCCCCGAAAAGAATGAGTTTGAGAACCCGGAAATTTTCTAATTTTCTAGGGTTTATTTTTTTAACGCCCGCCTTTTCTACATTTTCTTGATTAGAAAAATTCCCTAGATAAAGTTTATGAGCAAAGATAGTTTTAAAATGATTTTTCTAGTATCGGTTAGTTTTTAAGAAATTAATAGCGTATTTTGAACGTGGGACCCGCAAGTGCGGTAAATGCATTATATTTTTGACAACTTGTTGGAATTTTGTATTAAGTGATATTATTTTACAAAGTGTTAAGATATTTGTATTGGAGAGACAAAAAGATAAGTTTTGAACCAAAGGGTGACAAGTGTCACCATAAGATTAAGTCTTGGACTTTGACTACACTATTCACTACTTTACCAAATAAATCAAAAAATTGCCAAAAATCATCCTTATTTCTAAAGCTTCATAGCCAGCTCTCTCTCAAAGGAAAAGAAAGAAAAGCTCTCAATTTCTTCCTTCTATTTCTTGCTCAATCTTCAAATCCAACCAATAAAACTCCAAATCATTCCATAAAATCTCTTTGCTAAGTGGTCTTGAGGTGTTTTGTGGAGTTGTTTGGAAAGCTAAGGTGACTAGTTGCTCTATCTCTTGTATTGCTAAGGTGAGTTGTGAAGGACCCCTCGCCTTCCTCTAATGATGTTCAATTCATGATTGGTGGTGGTATGAGATGCAATATTATGGATTATTTCTTGATTTGTGGTTGAAGTGATGAAGTTTTATTATTTTTGGGGATTTTTCTGTTTTAATATAAGCATGGTTGTGTGGCTATCTATGATGATTGGAAATGGTATATAATGATTCTAGAAGGTGGAAAAAGTGGACAATTGCAATCAATTTCTGTTTTGGAAGAAAATTGAAAAACCTAGGGTTCATGAAGCTACATTCTGTCCGGTTTTATAGCTCCTAGCTAGAGACCGAATTGGCCTTAGCTCAAAACATGAAAGTTGTAGGGAATGACATTTTAAAGGTGCCTACAAAATTTCAGGTCAATCGGAGTAGCGTAGCTTGAGAAAATTCGAAATTACCCTTGCTGTCCTGGTTTTACCCGAATTTGGGAATTGCTTCTGTAATTGGTTGTTTTGGCCAGGAATGCTTCCGAATTGGTTGTTGAGGTCTTCTGATGAATTGTAACCGTGTTTCTTAGCTTGCAGTTGGTTTTGGAATTTCTGGATTTGGACTTAGGTAGACTGATTTATGATGTTTCCGCTGGAATGCGTTCTGTGAATCTGTTTTTGTGATTCTGGTGTAGCATCTTGCATTTTTGACCTTGTTACACTCGAAACTGGGTTGAGTGACCTTCTAAAATATTGTAGCCCTATCTCTTAGCTTCGAAACGGTATATCTTTCACATTCATCCGATAATCGTAGTGCCTTTGGTGCCATTACCGCAAAAGGATGTCAAAAGCTATTTTTCTGGTTTTGTGCTTAACTTTCATTTCCGAACTTTTCCCTAGCTTGACCTGTACTAGTACTACTTGGAGCTTGCTGAATGACTATTGGATGAACTTGTTGTTGTGTGTGTACTTTGGGACTGGCTGAGGAAATAATGAAGCCTTGACGGCTGGAAAAGTAAGCAAATTTAGTGGAAGTGCTGTCCGAACTTTGAAAGGACTTGATTGCATTGAGTTTGTGATCTAAGACTTGGATTTGAGCAAGGCAATGATATATGATGGTTGGTTCCTGAGCCGTGGAGGTGAGTGACCCTAAAGTATTTCCAAAGTACTTGTGAAATGCTTCTTGCATTATTTATTCGATTGCATATCATGCGTGCTTGCATGTGGATTCATGACATGATTTGGCTTCAATGAGTTCTGGGAAAGTCTAGTGCTGGACACCAACGTCTCCACCTTGTTTATGGTTCATGTTCATGTTTATCTGGTGCTCAAAAAGGGGCTCCCTCTCAATGTTAATGTTAAATGATCTATTTGAGCGTTGGGTGTTCAAGTGCAATGATTTCACCGGCTCACGAGAGCAATAAACGGACATTTGATCTCTGAATCATGACATCATCGAAATGATCGAAATGCAATATTGTGAAATATATTTGATTACTGATTTTACTGGTTACTCGCTGAGCTTCTAGCTCACCCCAAAACTATTTTATTCCCCTCTACAGGGCTCGTGGCGAAGGAAGGCTTGTTGTGCTTATTCACGTGAATAGATGGCCTATATTTTGTACAGTTTGGATTTGGAATCATTTTATGTATAGTTGAGAATTGTTTCCGCTTCGCTTATGACATGTAAATGTTGGAGATTTATATTGTAATGTTTGAGGTTTATTCTTGTAATTCATTTGAGGACTGTAGTGAACGACTGAGTCCCGGCGAGAGCTGGGCAGGCGGCCCGCCGAACCCTCTGGTTCGCCTTAGGGGGAGGTGGGGCCGTCACACTATACCAAGTGGCGACTCCATTTTTCATCCAAAAACCCTTTTGAACTTTATTTGGCCAAAACCGTCGCATTTCATAATCCCACGCCCTTTATTTTCACTTTCACACGTTCACATACATATCTCATACACTACTTTCACACACACTACTATCAAAAAGTGGGGCGCGACAGGGTGTTCAAGTGCAATGATTTCACCGGCTCATGAGAGCAATAAACGTACATTTGATCTCTGAATCATGACATCATCGAAATGATCGAAATGCATTATTGTGCAATATATTTGATTTCTGATTTTACTGGTTACTCGCTGAGCTTCTAGCTCACCCCAAAACTATTTTATTCCCCTCCACAGGGCTCGTGGCAAAGGAAGGCTTGTTGTGATTTTATTGTTGTGGAATTCCTCTTGTATAAGAATTGGGATCATGGATCAGAGTGGCGCAGTGGAAGCGTGGACGCTTCGCTTTTGACATGTAATTATTGGAGAATTTGATGTAATTTTTGAGATTTATATTGTAATTTGTTTGAGGAATGTAGTGAACGACTGAGTCCCGGCAAGAGCTGGGAAGGCGGCCCGCCGAACCCTCTGGTTCGCCTTAGGGGGAGGTGGGGCTGTCACACCTTTGCAGCTCCTTAGTTTCCTCCGGGTTGCTCTTGTAAGCTGGGCGATTTGGCAACGACGGTCCAGGGACGAAGTCTATTTGGTGCTCAGTACCTCTAAGCGGTGGTAATCCACTTGGTACGTCATCAGGAAAGATATCAGCATATTCCTACAAAAGAGACTTAACCTCAAGCGGTAAGTTAGTATCAAGGTCATGCACATTCTGAGCTATTTCTTTACTAACAAGCATAAGAAGCGGTTGCTCATCCCTCATTAACTTCCTCACTTTCTTGGCTTTTATCAGGAGCATTTGTTTTCCCTCGGGTTTTACCTCACTTGCTGAGCTATCTAAAGCCCTTTTCCTCTCTTTTTTTGCCTCGACTTTCTCATTTTCTTTCTTTTTTGCACTATACTTCTCAGACTCCTGTTGCAATTTCAATTGGTCCTCATGCACTTGTTTTGGAGAAAGGGGAGCTAGGGTGACTTTCTTACTATTATACAAGAAACTATACTTGTTAGTCACACCATCAAAAGTTACCTGCCTGTCAAACTGCCATGGCCTACCTAGTATAATGTGACTAGCCTGCATAGAAACTACATCACATAATATTTCATCAGTATATTTATGAATTTGAAAGGATATAAGAACCTGTTTGGTTACTCGAACCTCCCCAGAATTGTTGAGCCATTGGAGTTTGTAGGGTCGCGGGTGATCCCTCGTAGGCAGCTTCAAGTTGTCCACCATGAGGGAACTAGCCACATTTGTACAGCTCCCACTATCAATAATCACACTACAAAGTGCTTGGTTGACGAAGCACCTAGTGTAGAAAATGTTCTCCCGTTGAAGCTCGTCCTCCTTAACACGTGCCGTCAATGCTCTCCTGGCAACCAAGGCGGTCCCAAAGTGACCCTCGGGTGCACTAAACTCCTCTTCATTTGGTGACTCACCATCGCTACCTCCTTCAAGGGGTGGCATGCCTTCGTACTCGGCTTCGTCCTCACTCACGATCTCGCCATTTTGCATCATAATCATAGTCCTTTGATTGGGACATTGACTAGCAATATGGCCTCTACCTTGACATTTGAAGCATCGAGTATCACGAGCCCTAGATTGTGCCCTAGGCTCCTCGAATTGAGTATCACGGGCATCGTTCACTACCGATTGAACACACCACTTGACCACTACTTTTTTACCATAAAATATCATTAATATTAGTGCAAAATATCAGCCCCTTACTCAGCTCATCTTGGCCTAAATTATTGACTAGAAAAAGCCAAGGAAAAGAAAAAAAATTGAGAGTTAATCTCATGGTGACAAGTGGCAGTCACCAAAGGTTGTTGACCAACCAATTTCTTCCACATTTATCACCAAAAATGACTCAAATTAGTCTTCATTTTCAGCCATTCCAGCCGTGAGCCTTAAGGGAAAAACAAGAAGAAGAAAACTTCAATTCCATCTTGAGCTTAGCTTGATTGAGTGAGAAATCAAGAAAACTAAATCGATTAACTTCTAATTTGAGAGTTTAGAAAGCTTGGGGAGCTAAAATTTTTCAAGGAGAGGTGAAGGATACCCCTTGCAAGCCTTTTATTGAGGTATTATGGCTGTGCATCTTCTCCCTTTCCCTTGGTCTTGTTTAAGTTATGCAGCAACTTGAATTCTTGCCTTGTGATACCTAATTTAAGTGATTTTAATGATTGTGGTGATGGAATTTTGAGTTAGGGTTTTGAACTGTTCACTTATATTTCTTGTTGTTTGGATGGTTTATGGTGTATATAATCTTGTATAGGAAGTTGTAGTAGTGGTTTAAGCTAGAAATGTGAAGTTTACACTTTGAATTCACTAAATTCCAGATTTGAGTTTTTATGTTACCCTGTTCTAACTGGTTCTATTTTGCCATGATGGAGGCTGAATTAGGCTTAGCTCAAAACATGAGAATTGTAGGAAATGATGTTTTATATCTTTCTATAAAATTTCAGCTGAATCGGAGTATTGTAACATGTAAAATGACAAACATACCCTTGACTGCCATAGGTATAGTTTTGTGGACAGTTTTGACATTTCCTCATTCTAGCTGCGTCTTTTCACCTTGATCCGTATCAAATTAGCCTTTTGCTAAAACATGAAACTTTTAATGCTATATTTTAGCTTTCCAACACAACTAAAAACATCTCAAACGGAACTGTGTAGCCTGAGTTATTGTTATTTGAATTCAATACTGACAATCGTATTGACAGGGACATTTTGGTTCTGTAATCTATACTTTTGACCTAGTTCAATTGTGAACTGGATTGAGTGGTTTTCATGAAAGTTGTAGCCCTTTGTCTTAGCTTCTCAGTGGTATAAAATTCACACTAATCCAATAAGCGTGGCTTCGGTTGTGACCGATACGCTAAGAGACATCGAACCTGTCTTTTTACTTTTTACCTTACACCTTATTTCCGGTCATTTTTGTAGCATGGTTTTGTACTTGTATGACATTGAGCCTATTGAACAGCTATTGTAATGAAACTATTAGCATGTGATTTTAGGACTGATTAAGGAAAAGAATGAAGTCATAAATGGCTGTAAAATAGATAAACACAAAGGGCGTGCCGCCCCAATTTTCACTCGAGGGTCAGGCATAGGTACCTGCGACTTGAGCGACGATTTGAGGTCAAGTTGGGCATAGATCGCCTATGGTATTTAAATTTTCTTTAGTCAAGGTATATACGTTAAAATTTTGCCGAAAAGTCGTACCCTTGGAAAATGAAAGTAATAATCAATAGAAATACGTTTTCCTCGTTCTTTCGACTCTGTGACAGCCCCACCTCCCCCTAAGGCGAGCCAGAGGGTTCGACGGACCGCCTGCCCAGCTCTCGCCAGGACTCAGTCGAACCTCAATCAAATCTGAAATAAAATCACAAGATCAAATGAAATAACAATCCAAAACTTAAAACGAAACTTATATACATTTCTATCTCAAAAGGAAGTACAATTATCGAATATACAAAAGTTCCCAATTTGTCATTCATCTAGCCCGTGCCAAGCACTAGGGCGAGAACCATTACAAAACAAAAAAACTAGACTAGGCTAACCTACACTGGGCTCTCGTCCTTGCTCGCATCCCCCTGTCAAGGAAAACAAAACTAAAGGGGTGAGCTAAAAGCTCAGTGAGGTTCCGAACACATAGGCAACAAGAGGTTCAATGCATTCATTACATATAACCAATAATTCAAGATACAAATACAAAATAAAGCGATAAACACATTCATTAAAAGGATACGGCTCACAGGGAGCCATTCATTCGTTTGTTCGTTCATTCATTCTCCTGTCATTCCCCTTATTCCTCCAATCATTTAAAATGCATTTTTGGTAAGTAAAACCCTCGTTTGCATTGACATTCGTTCGTTCATTTCATTCACCCCCTCTTGGACGTTGGCCAGGCTCCACCCGACAACAAGGTAATACTCGAGTATACCAAACGTTTACCCAGGGTCACTAAATTGCCCGACCGAGTCCACTTCTGGCTCGAGTCGATCAGCAGCGAAGGGCAAGGGCCCAGTTCAGCCAAACGGCTTACATTTATGCGCAACTAGCATTTAATGATTTAATCATTGAAATTTCACATTCATTTAGGTCGAGTGCGATAAAGTACACACTCGCCTAGAAAACTCATTTTAAGCAATCATTGAAAGTACTTAACACATTATCAATGTGACGCCCCGAAAAAATGAGTTTGAGAACCCGGAAATTTTCTAATTTTCTAGGGTTTATTTTTTTAACGCCCGCCTTTTCTACATTTTCTTGATTAGAAAAATTCCCCAGATAAAGTTTATGAGCAAAAATAGTTTTGAAATGATTTTTCCAGTATCGGTTAGTTTTTGAGAAATTAAGAGCGTATTTTGAACGTGGGACCCGCAAGTGCGGTAAATGCATTATATTTTTGACAACTTGTTGGAATTTTGTATTAAGTGATATTATTTTATAAGGTGTTAAGATATTTGTCTTGGAGAGACAAGAAGATAATCTCAAGCTTAAAGGGTGACAAGTGTCACCTTGTTATTGAAGGTTGGACTTTGACATTTGACTATCTTACTACCTTTACCAAATAAGTACCAAATTGATCCAAAATTACCTTCATTCTTCATCATCTTGGCTGAGCTTCACAAGGAGAAAAGAAAGGAAAGCTTTCATCTTACTTCTTCATTTCTTGCTCCAATCAAACAATTTAACCGATTAAACTTGGATTTCCTCCATAAAATCTCTTAGTTTAGTGGTATTAAGGTTGGTTGTGAAGTGGTTTGGAAGACCAAGGTGCTAAGTTGCTTCCTTTCTTGAGTTGGTAAGGTGAGTAGCTAAGGAACCTCTATTTTCTTCTCAATCATGTTTAATTAGTGGCTTATGTGAGTTAAAGAGATGGTTTGATGGATTATATCTTGATTTTGGTTGAATTGGTGAAGTTTTATAATTATTGGGGATTTTTCTGTTTTCATATGGATATGATTATGGGGTTATATATGATGATTGGAAATGATGTTTAAGGACTCTATGAGGTGGAAAAAGTGGTCAATTGCAATCAATTTCTGTTTTGGAAGAAATTTCAGAAAATTGGGTTTTGTGAAGCTACATTCTGTCCGGTTTTATAGCTCTTAGTTAGAGATCGAATTGGCCTTGGCTTAAAACATAAAAGTTGTAGGGAATGACATTTTAAAGGTGCCTACAAAATTTCAGGTCAATCGGAGTAGTTTGGAATGAGAAAAGTCAAATTTACTATTGCTGTTCTGGTTTTACCCGAATGTAAGAATTGCGCCTGTAATTGGTTGTTTTGGTCAGGATTGCTTCCGAATTAGTTGTTGAGGCCTTCTGATGCAATTTAGCCCTGTTTCTTAGATATCATCGGGTTTTGGAATTTCTGGATTTGGACTTGGAGAGCCTGAGTTATGATGTTTCCGCTAGAATACGTTCTGTGCAGCTGTTTTTGTGATTCTGGTGTGGTTTCTTGTGTTTTTGACCTGGTTACACTTGAAACTGGGTTGAGTGACCTTCTACAATATTGTAGCCTTATCTCTTAGCTTCGAAATGGTGGGTCTTACACCTTCATCCGACAATCGTAGTGCCTTTGGTACCATTACCGTAAAATGACGTCAAAACTGTTTTTCTGGTTTTGAGCTTAAATTTCATTTCCGGACTTTTTCCTAGCTTGACTTGTCTTTGTACTACTTGGAGCTTGCTGAATGGCTATTGGATGAACTTGTTGTTGTGTGTGTACCTTTGGGATTGGCTGAGGAAATAATGAAGCCATGATGGCTGGAAAAGTAAGCAAATTTAGGGGAAGTGCTGTCCGAACTTTTAAAGGACTTGTTTGCATTGAGTTTGTGATCTAAGACTTGGATTTGAGCAAGGCAATGATATATGATGGATGGTTTCTGAGCCATGGAGGTGAGTGACCTCAAACTATTTCTGAAGTTATTTATGAACCGTTTCCTGCATTATTTACTTTTGAGCTGTTTCCAAAGTTACTTTTGTACCGTTTTCTTGCATTATTTACCTTTAAACTGTTTCCAAAGTTACTTTTGAACTGTTTTCTTGCATATCATGCGTGCTTGCATGTGAGTGTTCCTTATTTGCTATATTTTCTTGATTTCATGACTTGTATTATTGATTGATAACGTGTTAAGTGCTTTGAATGATTTCCAAAACGAGCTTTCTAGGCGAGTGTGTACTTTATCGCACTCGACCTAAATAACTGTGCAATTTTCAAGGATTTAATTATTGAAATGCTAGTTGCGCATGAATGTAAGCCGTTTGGCTGAATTGGCCACTGTCCTTTGTTACCGATCGACTCGAGCCAGAAGCGGACTCGGTCGGGCGATATGGTGACCCTGGGTGAATTTGGTATACTCGAGTATTACCTTGTAGTCCGGCTACGTCCGGATGGGTGGAGTCCGGCCAATGGTCGGATGGGTGAAGTCCGGTCAATGTCCGGAAAGGGGGATGAACGAACAAAAGGATGAACGAGGGATTCTACTTACAAAAAAAAAATGTATTTTCAA